AGTTGACGTAAGTTGCATGCAAGATGGTAAAAGAGCTAATGGGATTTTACTTAAATGAAAAATAAGGTTCTAAATCCATGTGACAAAAATGTGATGTAAAAAAAAAAACACTGCAAAAGATCAAACGTTGTGACTAGGTGAGAGTTGAGTGGGTGTGAGAGGTGTGAGTGGGTGTGAGAGGTGTGAGTGGGTGTGTGAGAGTGTAAGAGTGTGAGAGTACAGACGTGGGAGGCGTGTGAGTGTGTGATCGGGTAGGACATGAATAAATGAAGGAGGTTTTAGCTCAGCTTCGATAAATGACTTTTTTACGGGAATTGACTTTTTCTGAGCGCGTGTGTATATGTGTGTGTGTGTATGTGTGTGTGTGTGTGTGTGTGTGTGTGTGTGTGTATGTGTGTGTGTGTGTGCACGGGGGTGTGAAAGGGTGGAGGGAGACAGGAAGAAGAAAGATGAAGAACAAAAGGCAAGAGGCGTCGGAGGAGAGGAAGAGGAGGGAGAGGAAGAGGGGGAGAGGAAGAGGAAGAGGGGGAGAGGGAGGAGAGGGAGGAAAAATGAAAGGAAGGACAAAAACAAAGTAAAAAAAACTTATTACACAAGGAAGAAACGAATTTAAATAACACGGAAAAAAACCAACACATAATAACATATACGATATTCAAGAGATAAATATAATAAACAGATAATTAGCAACAATGATAAAGGAGAGAAACATAAATAGAATAAAGGAATAGAAGAAACAGGGAGACAAGAAACGGGTATGGAAAGGGGAGTGAATGGAATGGATGATAAATTTGTATTAGGAATGTATAGAACTGCGACAAGTATTGAGGATGAAAGACACAGTACACAGGATAATAAAGGAGGAGTTACAATGTGAGATAAAGACGTAGGAAGAGGAAGTAGGAGGAGAAGAGAAGGAGGAGAAGAGGAGGAAATTTAGTCGGAAAAAATAAAGAGGAAAGAAGAAAAAGAGAGAGAGATGAAAAAACAAGAAGAGAGAGAGAGAGAGAGATGCAGGACGTGACGTAATAGAGGGAAGAGGAAGACAGGAGGAGGAGGAAGACAGGAGGAGGAGGAAGACAGGAGGAGGAAAGTAAAACATTAGCTGCAGATCATCCCTCATTACTCCCCACCCCTGACACCCTCTCAGAATACGTCAACACCCTGTCCACGCCCTTACCAGCCCCGCCCACGCCCACCCACGCCCACAGGAAGAGAGGGGGAGGGGGGGGGAGGTGTAAGGGAAGGAAGGGCGGAGAGAGGAAGACAAGGGAGGGGGGGAGGTGGAGGGGATGGGAGAATAGGTAAAGGGAGGGAGAGGAGGAGGAGGAGGAAGATAAAGAGAAGAGAAAGAAGGAAAGTAGTAGAAGAAGATAGAGGAAATTCACAGTACGTCGTCATCATCATCATCATCATCATCATCACCATCATCATCATCATCATAATCATCATCATAATCATCATCACTTCAGTATTAAACAAACAATTACCAACAACAAATCATGAAAATAAATAAAATTCGCCCCTCTAAGTAAAATAAAAGTTTGAAAATATTAAACTAAAAGTACATAAATAAAATAAAAAGGAAAAACAAAATAACGCAAGAATTATTATTACAACAAAGGACAAATTAATATTAATATCTTTATGAAATATTTATATAATTTAAGACCAAAACAATGGGTCTTATTTTGTCTATATATTTAACAGTATTTTTCACTTGTTTTAACGTAATAAGCTAACCCCTTGAGTACTGTGTATCTTAACATCATGAGTACGAGGATTTTAACCTGTTGAGTACGATGAATTAATCCACTTAGGTATCTTATCATCTTGAGTACGAGGACTTGAGTACAATAATTTAATCCCTTGAGTACAATTATTTAAGTCTTTAGTATTGGATGATCAATTCTCATGAGTGGATTTTGTTATCGTACTCATGGGGTTTAACCTTTGAGGACGATGATTTAACCTTTTGAGGACGATGATTTAACCTTTTGAGGACGATGATTTAACCTTTTGAGGACGATGATTTAACCTTTTGAGGACGGTAATTTAACCTTCTGTAGGACGATGATTTAACCTTTTGAGGACGGTAATTTAACCTTTTGAGGACGATGATTTAACCTTTTGAGGACGATGATTTAACCTTTTGAGGACGATGATTTAACCTTTTGTGGACGATGATTTAACCTTTTGAGGACGGTAATTTAACCTTCTGTAGGACGGTAGATTTAACCTTTTGAGGACGATAATTTAACCCTTTAATGACGATAATTTAACCCTTTAATGACGATTATTTAACCCTTTGAGGACGACACTATAACCATTTAAAGACGATAAGTTAACCTTGTCGTCTCTAAAGTCTTACCTAAATAAATACACCACAAGCCACCAACCCACACCCGGGATGAGAGGCAGATAAGAACACTAAATATATAAATGACGATAAATAAGATAACAAAGGAAAAGGAGAAACATAGAGACACCTAAAACCTATGATAATTATACTCGAATGATAAGTGATGATATAATGAGGAAATTGATAAAGATAAGAAAAATGGAGAGAAAGTGGAATATAATGATAGGAAAATATTTATAATGAATTGGTTGATGAAAGAGGAAGTGGATAAATATAATGAAGGAGGGGTGCTTATTGTATTCCTTATTCCTCTCTCTCTTTCTCTTTCTCGCTCTTTACTTTCCCTCCTCACTCCCTCTCCTTCCCTCCCTCTCTCTCTTTCTTTCCCTCTAACTCCCTTCCTTTCCCTGATTCCTTCCCTCCTCCCCCCCTCCCTTCCTTTCCCATACCCTCCCCCCTTCCTCTTTTAACCCCCCCTCCATCTTTCCTCCACCCACCCCTCCTTCCTCCTCCCCCTCCCCCCACGACACATCCGGGCCTCCGTCATTACACTCGTTATAATAATGAGTGTAATGGCACATAGGGAAAAGTCTCTCTTTCGTCATACGCAACTTTGACGGTCTTTGTTGTGTGTCGGTGTAGTGCGGGAGATGACATTGGTCTCTCTCTCTCTCTCTCTCTCAAGTCGAAAATAATTCTTTCACTGATGGAAAATTCCCTGATGATTTTAGAAACAACAACATTAACAGCAACAACAACAACAACAAAAACACATTATATTGTCCGTTCATTAAGTTCACATATAGTAAAACACATTCACTTTATTACAAAATATTATAAAGTGAACGATAATTATGTATTTTCTTCAATATAAAAAAAAATATGCAAAAATAACCACGGAAAAATATTAATGAAACTTTTACAGGATATAAATTGTGGTTTTTTTTTTGGTAACACTGATATTTGTACTCGTCTTATACACGTGTTGTTGTGTGTGTGTGTGTGAGATGAATATATTTTTTTATTACCCACGTGTACTCTCGAGTATATTCTTACATATATCAAGAAAGGTAAAACTACACACACACACACGCACACACACACACACACAGCACAGCACCCACACACATATCACCCCCACACACAGAGCACCCCTAGCACACACAGAGCAGCACCCTCCCCCCACACACACACACAGAGCACCCCTTCCCCACACACAGACCACACCCTCCCCACACACAGACCCACCCCCCCACACACAGAGAGGCACCCCTTCCCCACACACAGAGCACCCCTCCCCCACACACACAGACCCCCTCCCCCACACACAGACCACCCTCCCCCCCCCACACACAGAGCACCCTCCCCACATACAGACCCCCTCCCCCCACACACAGACCACCCCCACACACAAACCATCTCTTCCCCCACACACACAGAGCACCCCTTCCCCACACACACAGAGCACCCCCTCCCCCACACACACAGACCACCCTCCCCCACACACACAGAGCAACTCCCTCCCCACACACACACACAGACCACCCTTCCCCCACACACACACAGACCACCCCCTCCCCCCCCTGCACACACAGACCCTCACCCCCTCCCCCACACACAGACCACCCCTCCCCCCACACACAGACTAATTCTCCCCCACACACAGACCACCCCCTCCCCCACACGCAGGACGGCCCTCCCCCCCACACACAGACCACACCCCCCCCCCACACACACAAACCCACAAACACACACACATTAAAAAACCTCCTTTCATTTGTCACTGTCAACGTCTTCACCGCCCACACCGCCCACACCGCCCTCCACCTCTCTAATCTTCACCCAACTCACCCTCTATGACACCCCCTCCTCCAACCTCCACCTCCAAACCCCAAGCCACACTATACACCTCACCCTTGAAGTATGACCTACACCAGGGAGACGAAGGAGACGCTAGAGACTGAGAAATTAGAGAGAGAAATGTCTCAAGTCGGATGGAAAATGAGACTGACCAGTAGGGCGACTCAAGTCAAGGAATGGGTAAACAACGGCTGCTCGCTGCCCTGCCACTGTACACACACAGACATCAAATTGTGCCGACTTCTCTCTCTCTGTCCTATATCTCACGTAATTACCCTCTGTCTCTCACCTGCACCATATTTCTCTGCAGACTCACCTCTTAAGATACACCTTTATGGTAATTTGTCTTTAAGTGTAATCCTTAAGGTCTAAGTCAACAGAAGATAATATTATAAACACCTCTAATACACCTGTAATACCTGTCGTGTCCTGCGCACCTGTGTCTCGACCCCTTCAGTATACCTGTAGTTCTTGATCCTCTGCCCCCACTCCTTCCTTCACCATTTAGGTCTTGATCTTAAAATATTTCTATATATTTAAGACTCGATCCTAAAATACCATAATAAACTTTGGTGTAGATTCTAATTAAAATTTCTTTGGCTTTAGATTTAGATTTTGTGGTACGTGGGATAGGACCTGTAGTTCCCTGGCCTCCTCCCCACTACCACCACCACCCGCTGTCAGGTCCTGTCCCAGGTGCTAGTAGCGCCTTCTTGAGGAGCTCAGGAGGGCACACCCACTCTGACTAACCTAGATCTGGTCTCTCCTCCCCCAACAGACCACGGCGGAAGACCAAGACCCTCATGAAGAAGGATAAGTACCCACTGGCATCAGGTCTCCTGCCTACAGATCCTACCCGACCACCAGTACAGCAGGTGACCCGGGACATGCGAGATATGTACAATATGACCAACGGGTACATGCCAAACGGGGACTATGGCGACTACGGTGAGTGGAGTAAGTTGATCGACCATTATTTTTTTATAAATTATTTTTAGGGAACAGGTTACGGTAATGTTCTTTATATTTACGAGTGGTTTTTTTTTTCTATCCTAAAAAAAAAAACACCCCAGATACATAAATATTTTCCTGTAATCCTTTAGTCTATCTTTTTAACTTACCTCCATCACCTGTGCTCCTCACCTGAAGACAGCATGAACACCTGTAGTACTTGAGCATGATAATACCTTTAGTTATTAGCCTTACCGGAGTATGATTTATTATAGGTCTTAGCTGCACGTTCTTTTCTTCGAGTACAAATTGAGTTATAGTTGTAGGTATAATTTGTAGGTAGTTTTAAACACGTATAATTTGAAGGGACTTTTATGTATAAATACCTGTCAGTTCTCCGTCAAGCTTATCCGTTTACACATCTAGAGCACAATGAGGAATTCTACCAGCGTTCATTACACACCTGCCAGCGACCACTATATATCTACCACCAACCAATACACCTACCACCAACCACTACACACCTGCCACCTACCTTTACATACCTACCACCAACCACTACACCCCTACCACCAACCACTACACCCCTACCACCAACCACTATACACCTACCACCAACCGCTACACACCTACCACCAGCCATTTACGCACCTGCCACGACACACCTACCACTACACACCTGCCACTACACACCTACCACTACACACCTACCACTACACACCTACCACTACACACACTTGCTTCACACACCACTACACACCCACACTACACACACCTACACACTACACACACCTACCACCAACCATTTACACACCTGCCACTACACACTTACCACTAAACTATTTTCTACACACTCACACTACACACCTACACACATTTACACACCTGCTACTACACACCTACCACTACACACCTACCACTACACACCCACCACTACACACCTACCACCAACCATTTACACACCTGCCACTACACACCTACCACCAACCATTTACACACCTGCCACTACACACCTACCACTACACACCTACCACTACACACCTACCACTACACACCTACCACTACACCCGTTCAACAAGAAAAAAAAAGAAAAGAGATTCAACTCCTTTCTGTATAACTAAAGAAAATAAAGAAGAATTAACTCTCGGATCTCTAATTGATATTTATTAAGAACGTGATAAATAACAAAGGTAAACCGGATACCTTAAGTGATCACCTGTACTGTCAATTACAGGTGCTAAAGACTATGGCAATGGATGTTGTATATAATTCAGGTGTTACAAGAAGCAGTAATTAAGGTATACAGTCATACAGTCCTATTACTACTTAGACAAGATGGTAAAGTTGACACGTAGAGGAAAAAAGTCGACATGTAGTGGGAAAAAGTCGACATGTAGAGGGAAAAAGTCGACATGTAGAGGAAAAAAGTCGACATGTAGTGGGAAAAAGTCGACATGTAGAGGGAAAAAGTCGACATGTAGAGGAAAAAAATCGACATGTAGTGGGAAAAAGTCGACATGTAGAAGGAAAAAAATCGACATGTAGAGGAAAAAAGTCGACATGTAGAAGGAAAATAAGGAATCTCTTCTGAAGGGAATTAAATAAACGTTTGGTTTAGTCTACCTGAAGGAGCTGTGTGCAACAAGAACACTGCTTCCGAACGTTTTAAAATAACAACTGAACAAACTCACCAAGAACAATGAGGGAGGAGGTGGGAGGGGGTAGGAGATCTTGAACGAGACACCGGCTTCACCCCCCTCCCCCCTTCCCCCCCCTCCCTTTCCCCCTTGTGGTGTGGTCACTCTAAGGGCGTGGTTGCCGCAAGGTAAACACTGTAAACACGCCGCAGCGGTAAACAAAATGAAGAACTGACTCTTGTAAATATTTATATGGTGTTTCAATCTCAGCTTAACATAGAGGAAATAGAAACTTATATATAGGATAATTATTTACTTGCTTATATCTCACCTGCCATTAACACAGTAGCAAAATCTAAGCCAATTTGCATGGAATATATAATGATACTATATAACACCTTATAGAGATTATAGGAAAATATATAGAAAATAATTACATAGAAGAACATAGAAAAAATACATTATTGTTTATTCACTTGTTGATTATTTGTCTATCTCATATGGATGTGGGAGGCTAGGGTGGGAGGTTAGGGTGGGAGGCTAGGGTGGGAGGCTCGGGTGGGAGGTTAGGGGGAGGTTAGGTGGAGGTTAGGGGTGGAGGTTAGGTGGGAGGTTAGGGAGGGAGGCTAGGGTGGGAGGCTAGGGTGGGAGGCTAGAGTGGGAGGCTTAGGGTGGGAGGCCAGGTTAGGCAGAGTCTTCCCACGGGGATGAGTAATAATCTGTACTCATTACACTTACCTGGAGGTGGGCAGGGGTGGGTCGGTGGTGGGCAGTGATGGGTCGGTGGTGGTCAGTGATGGGTCGGTGGTGGGCAGGGGTGGGTAGAGGAAGGGCAGTTGTAGGTGGGTTTTGGGTGATTGGGAAGCAGG